CCAGACAATCCCATCTCAGTTTACACAAAACCCAGCAACGATTATGATTTTACTGGCTTTGGTTGTCATAAACCAATGCACCAGAAATTATTTTAAAAGATGTAAAGCATAAAGACTGTTCTGAAACCATTCATTTGCCACACTGACAGCTGTATGAGAACACGTTTAAAGGCAAAGATGTAACAAACTCCTGATCTAGGTGAAGGAATATGAAACCAGTCACAAAATATCACATGGAAGCCAGTTTTAGTTAAACAGAATAACAAATCTACATACGCCCCTCTAGTTTCCCCTCAATAAATATCTCAAGTTTGCATAGCAGCAAACCAGTTTGCTTACAGGATCCCATGGATTTAAGAAATGTAGATGAAGGAGAAGAAAAAGACTGGCGCATACCACAGCATGCCTCCCTCTCTCTTCTCTTTCACTCTTTATCTGCAGCAGCAGAAATTCATCAAGATGAGGAAGAACAATAATAATAGTCCAGCAGTAGTCCCATAGACCTCGGCGTTTCGCTTCTGCGGCTGTCCGACCGCAATACAATCTCTTCTTTCAATGGCTGATTGTATTCTGAAAGTTTTCAACAATCTGATTTGTGGTTCTCTTCCCAAACGCAGCACAAAAGACAAAACGCATCGAGGAAAAACCAGACTGGAATATCAGTTCACTGTTTCTTGTTGGAAAGGAGGAGGCGTTGAAGGAGGGAGAGAGAGAGAGAGAGAGAGAGAGAGAGAGGGGGGGGAAAACAGCTTTGTATCGTTGTGCTTCCCTTGGGTTCACCACGTTGTTTTTGAGCACTTATAATTTCCTTTGTTGTGTCCAAAACATCTCGAGTTGTCCATGTTTATCACACATCTCAGCCGTCAGCACGCGGTCTGTGCGGAACAGCGCAAGTCTCCAGCGGAGGAAAAAGGACTTCTCCCAGCATAAAGGCGAAATCCAGTGACGGAGCGTGTGTTAATGTGTTTTTTTCGGCTTCCCAATAATGGCGGCCCTTCTCCCGTTCTCGGTCTCTCCTCCCTCCTCTGTAGTCTCGCGCATGGACACAATTACCACACACACACACACACACACACACATTATTATAACGCCAGCATTCGTAACTAAAGATGCTGTTATCCGGCGGAATTGGGACTGGTGTTGTAATTGTTATTTTCTTATGAAAACAAATAAGATGCTAGTCAATAACAAACATTCTCCATAGAGGAGAGGATGGGAGAGTTGCCATAAAGGCTCAATCTCAGCAACTGTATAAGGTTTTGAGTCAAAAGTCCAGGCAGTCAGCTTCCAAAAAAATGTGTGGTTTGTTTATATGTTGATTTATAAAATGTCATAAATCAAATCAAAAAATCAAATCAAATCATTAAAAAGTTTTTTTTTTATTTTTTTTTTATGTTTTGTACAAAAGTATCTAATGAATGATTTAATTATTTATTTATTTATTTGGTTGCTTTTTAACTGAAAGGTTGAACTGCGTTCCCAGGATATTTTTCATAAGAATAAATATTTCATAAAGTTATCACCACGGCAATTATCATTTACTAATACTAAACTAAAAATGTTAAAAGAAATAACGCTGAAATAAAACAAAATGAAATATAAATATTAGATGGAAATACATTAATAAAATGTAAAAAAAAAAAAAAAAAGTTGAAGCTGAAGCACTAAAATTACTGACTGTAAATAAAATATTTTATATATATATATATATATGAAATAAAAAACTAGTACAATTTTAAAAGAATAGCAACTAATAAAATTACAAAAGCACATACCAAAGTTACTAAAAATGTAAGTGCAATTAAAACAGAAAATGTCCAAATAAAAGCTAATGAATGATTTTAATTAAAAAAACTATAATAAATATAAGTATTACAGAAATAAAACAAAACAATAATACTACACTATACGGCAGCACTATATACATAATATTAAAATAATGTTGGTTGTCACATGGTTGGACACTTTACATTGTTTTACTGTTTAAAATGGGATGAAAAGCCTATAATATGCTATTTAATGGCAGGTTCCATTGTGACAACTTACCCCAACATCATTTCCCCTCAGCTTTAAACCCTATTGTTAAGGTGATATAATATAGATTTGTCTCCACGTACTGTTACTGAGTTTCTGTTCAGTTCTTACGATCTCACTATCATATTGTGAGTTCAATCAGAGAGAGTCACTTGGGGTAAAAGTTTTATAAAAAGTTCTCATGCTTTCTGTTTTTATCTATAAATAGTCCTACAAAACTATATATGCAGTGTGGTTTTAATATTACAGAAACAAAAGCTAAATCCAGTGATTTGCAGTTAATCATAGTATTTATCATGACACCATTTATCTGCATCGGTGTTAATATTTCACTCTCTTAGTGTTCATATTTTAACACTGTGTTGGTGTTGCATGATGCAACACTTTTGAAAGTGTTAAATTAACACTTTGTGGGTGGTTCTCATATATACACTTTCAAAGTGTTGGAATGAACTCTGATGGTGTTGTTTTCCGGATTTCAAATTTACTGTGCAAGCCCTGTCCAGATTTAAAAAGTAACGCAAAAGTAACGTAACGCATTACTTTCCATAAAAAGTAACTAAGTAACGTAATTAGTTACTTTTTTTATGGAGTAACGCAATATTGTAATGCTTTAAAAGTAACTTTCCCCAACACTGTTTATTGGAATATTAAACATGTGACAAATGACAAGCACTTTTCTATGACATTTTTGATTAATGATTGACCCCATAATACAATATAATATCATTTCCCACGACTCTGCACAAAGTTTTTCTGAATTCTTCAAATGTTGTGCAGCCTCATAATTGTTCCCTTTTTAAATAAAACAGTTTCAAACTCTATTGTCAAGGTGATAAACTATAGATTTGTACTCGTAATTGCCTTCAGCTTTGGCTCTTAAAAAGTTTCTGTTTCTGTCTCGCCATCATATTGTGAGTTCAATCAGAGAGAGTCACTTGGGGTAAAAGTTTAATAAAAAGTTCTCATGCTTTCTGTTTTTATCTATAAATAGTCCTACAAAACTATATATGCAGTGTGGTTTTAATATTACAGAAACAAAAGCTAAATCCAGTGATTTGCAGTTAATCATAGTATTTATCATGACACCGTTCCACACCGTGAAGAGAAGAAACTGCGAAGGTCTCTGCTCCCACCTCTAGACTGCAGCTGAAATATTTCTAAGTCCCAAGGGCCACCACATTCTTCGCTCTCACAGTTGTGCAATCTCTTAACAATCAAGAGCCCCAACCCCCTTCTGACTATGTGCAGAGACCCTGTCCAAGTTATCTGGACAGTGTTCTGCAGTAGACAAATCCTTAAAAAAGCTGAAGTACAAAACAGAGGCGTGGTGATGTAACACAGACCTGATTCTCCATTTTATATGATGTATCCAGAAATATGGCAAGAAATGCGTAAAAGGATATGATGCATGTTTTCAGACTGAACTCACACTGCAGGGGACGCTGTCCAGAGGCTACTGTTTTTAATGTGTATAAATAAACTATTGGAATGAGCCTCACAAAAAAAGACATATTATAGTAAAGTTAATCGAAAGAAAATAGATAAGACCATGTTAATGAAATGTACTAATATATATATATATAGAGAGAGAGAGAGAGAGAGAGAGAGAGAGAGAATATATTGAAAGTCATTTAAAATAAATAAATAAACGTATATTGCATTATAAATAAATGTATAAAAAGACTACAGCATTAAAACAAACAGTAATATTTGAAAAAAAATTTGACATGACATCTTTCAAATTGTCAAAACTAACCCAAAGCAAGTCATTTCAAACATTTATAATCGTTGAATCTTACCTTTAAAGGGGTCATATGATGCGATTTCAAGTTTTCCTTTCTCTTTGGAGTGTTACAAGCTGTTTGTGAATAGATAAGATCCCTGAAGTTGCAAAGACTAAAGTCTCAAAACCAAAGAGATATTCTTTATAAAAGTTAAGATTCGTCCATGCCCTCCTCGTTTAAACACGCCCCCACATGTCTACGTCACTGTGTGGGAAGATTTGCATAACGCAGCCAAAATGTTCACGCAAAGAAAGAAGGCGTAACTTTATTGTTGCTGCTATCGCCGCCGCCATGTTGTGAAGACGCTGTGTGTTTCGTTGCGAAAGCGAAACTACTTTGTTTGGTCTTCCAAAAGAGGACACGACTAGAAATCAGTGGTTAAGTTATATTTACAACACTGTTCCAGAACAGTTTAACCCAAATATTCAGATGTGTGCAGCACATTTTATGAAGGACTGTTTCCTGATCCTGGTCGAGTAGCCTACAATACCGGCTGTTCTGACTCACAGACTGTAAGTACTTTTTTTTAATATTTAAAGAATTTGCCACTGATGATTCAAACGTGAGTTTTGAGCAGTGTAGAGTAGCGCTTGTAGTTTGTCATTTCTCCGATCACAAATACAGACATGGTTTTATGTTTACGCGGCGCGATGCAACGCAATGCATAAAAAGACAGTATAAGTCATTATAATCCGTAATTATGTCCCCACTGGATGCAACAAATGCCTCATTTATAATGGGTTTTAATGTTTTTGTCTCATCGCTCCGGCCGGGACAAGGCATCACAATATGATAAGGGGCGTAACATTTCCGTCACACGCTTGAGGTATTCGGCCAATCACAACGCACTGGATAGCTGGCCAATCACAGCACACCTCGCTTTTCAGACCAATGAGCTTTGACGCGTTTCAGAAAGGCGGGGCATAGAGGAGAAACAATAATGTACAGTATGTGGAAAATAATGTGTTTTTTGAACCTTAAACCGCATTAAACACATTTCATTACACCAAATACACTAAATAATGTTCGTTTTAGCAACATCATATGACCCCTTTAAGTCATGTGCTATACTTGACAGTTCAACCCCAGTGTAAGATTGTAATTGTAGTCCGGAACGGTACATTCTCCTGATACGCTTGTATGTTATAAGCTAGCTTAGAAAACTACATTACCCATCATTCCTAGCACCAACGGCCTCTGCTCGCATCCTGTCCGGTGAAGATAGCGGGCGGCTACAGAACCTAACTCAGTCTGAGGCTGCTGTATTTCGTAATTAAATCCATTAAACATTGATTGAAATAACTCAGACCACCGTGAACGATAAATACCGAGCACAATGGTAAGTGTAGATGCCTATTCTTGCTGGTTACAATCACTTATTTTCACTAGTTCGACTGTCTGTTTTTCTCAGCTAACAGGCTAGTGTGATATATGTCGATTATAACAACACGACCAAGGTCATAAATCAAACTATATAGACATTTAGTGTTTGAACATAGTATCCAGTGGAAAAAAAATAATCAGACTTTCATTATTCTCTTTCGGGTCAGAATAGAAATAACGCTGAATGAATGAATGAAGCTAAATGCTCATTGCTAGTTATTTGATGGAAGCTTTGTATAATTTCTGTTACATATCAATAATGTCTTTACATATCAATAATACAATACATAATACATTTATAATGGCAAGCTCATGCATATTGAAATTGTTCAATGCGTTGCCACTATTCACACATAAAAGCATGTGACATGTCCTCTGTGGATGATATTGGATGATTTGTGAGAATTAGGTCTAAACCTTTCTGCTGTTGTTCTTGTGCAGATCCGCTTTATCCTCATCCAGAATCGGGCAGGGAAGACCAGGCTGGCCAAGTGGTACATGCAGTTTGATGATGATGAGAAGCAGAAGCTGATTGAAGAGGTTCATGCCGTTGTGACAGTCCGTGATGCCAAACACACCAACTTTGTAGAGGTACAACACTTACTTTTAACATTTTGTACTCCCTTTTCATTTTTAAAATATGAGTATAATTCTCATAGGATTGGATCAAACATCATTACACATGTAAATTGTTGTTTTAAAAGGTCTTATCCAGGAACTGTACAAATCAAGGTGCCTTGCATGTTTAACATTGTTTTCTTCTGCAGTTCAGAAACTTCAAGATCATTTACAGGCGGTACGCTGGCCTGTACTTCTGCATCTGTGTGGATGTGACAGACAATAACCTGGCTTACCTGGAAGCTATTCACAACTTTGTTGAGGTAAATGAAGAATAGCTTTGAACCCATAGTTCACCCAAAAATGAACATTTGCTGAATATGGGCCTTTAAAGATAGATGAGTTTGCATATTTGGGTAAATGTAGCATTACTTCACTTGCTCATCGATGGACCCTCTGCAGTGAATGGGTGCCGTCAAAATGAGTCCAAACAGCTGATTAAAAATATCACAGTAATCCACACAACTCCAGTCTATCAATTAAGGTCTATGTATTAAGTGCGTGTTTGTAATAAACATTCCATCATTAACACTTTTTTAACTTAAAATAAGAGTTCTCGATCCATAATATTGCTTTCTCCAATGAAAAAGTTGTCTCATCTGAATCAGGATAAAACATGCACTGTTTATGGCCATAACGTCACAATAATGGATTTTTCTTGCTTCACAAGATATTAGTTGATGGACTTGAGTCGTGTGGAGTACTTGTGGATTATTGTGATGTTTTTATCAGCTGTTTGGACTCTCATTCTGACGGCACCCATTCACTGGAGATGATTCATTGATGAGCAAGTGATGTAATGCTAAATTTCTCTAAAACTGTTCTGATAAAGAAACAAACTCAGTTACATCTTGGATGTAATGAGGGTGAGATGTAACACTTCCTTATAGCTCTTTATAAACACACACACACACACACACACACACACGCATACATATTCTTATATATAATATATATACACACTGTGTTCCAAATTATCATGCAAGTGACATATCAGTAGGATTTTGGTACAATAAAGAGTCAGATTTTTGTTAGTGTTTTTCACATCTTTTTAGATAACTGGTATCAATCTCAGACAGGTTTGTTTAATAGTTTGCCAGGTCTTCTTAGGTAAATATAAACCCTACTTAAAGAGGTTGTTCCACATTATTAAGCAAGTCACAGTTCTCATGAAATATGGTGAGGAATAAAGATCTTTCTGAAGATGAAAAGTATGAAACAATGCAATGTCTTGCAAATGGCATCAAAACAAACAATATTTTGCGTAAAGCAAATAGAGATTATTGAACTGTCAAAAGATTTGTGAGTGACTCAGAGCACCGAAGATCTTGGTCAGATAAAGATTTGTTAAGGAAAGTTTCTGTCAAACAAATGAACTCTGTTGTAATGGCAGCTGTAAAAAAGCCACTGCTGAGCAGCAAACAGGTGTTTGAAGCTACCGGAGTCTCAAGATCCTCTCCATGCAGACTGACAGTTATGTATAAAGCTGCATTACAGTCACTGCTAACCAAACCTCACAAAGAGAAACCTGCACAGTGGCTGTGCTCTAATAAATAAATAAATATATATATATATATATATATATATGTATACAAATTGTCACATTTTATTATTGGGTGTTTTACCAGCTAAGAAGATCAGCACTTCTAGAGTTTCATCCCTGTATCTGATGTGAGTAAAAGTATTGGAACAGTTGCCTCACAGGTCTTTCTAAGCGATCAGCTGTGTCCTGTTGCATTAATTGTTCAGATATTAAAAGCAAGGAATGTGTCATATCAGTTATATCCATTGCTTCTACATTCTGAGTCTTGGATTTGATGATGACACGCACAAACCAGGATGAAGACGATGGAGCTGACTTTGAGAGAAAAGCAAGCAATTTGGATGCTAAAAGAAAAGAGGAAGTCAATTAGAGCTATAGCAAAAACAAAGGGCATGGAGAAATCAAGAGTTTGGAAACCACTGGCGACATCAGCAACCAACAACAACCTGATCGGCTGAGAAAAACAACAGCTGTTAATAGCAGATAAATCATAAAAGCTGTGAAAGAAATACCCTAAAATAAGTGTCTGTAAAATCACCAACAACCTCCAGAAAGCTGGGGTGATGGTCTCAAAATCTACTGTCCGCAGGAGACTTTGACACAGATTTGCAGAGGCTAAAGCATGATGCAAACCTCTGACCAGCACCAAAAATAGAAGCAACATTGGAGTTAGCAAAAAAGCACAAATGTGAGGCAGTAGAGTTTTGGAACTGAGTTTTATGGACACATGAGACAAAGATTAACCTGTATCTAAGTGATGGGAAAGCAAAAGTGTGGTGAAAAAAAGGAACTGCGAATAATCCTGAGCATACAGCCTCATCTGTAAAGCATGGTGGAGGTGGTGTCATGGCATGGGCATGCATGGCTGTCTCTGGAACAGGCCCTCTCAAATTTACTGATGACTTAATGTATTGATGACAGAAGCAGAATGAATGCAGAAGTGTACACAAACATCTTGGCTACCAATATTCAAGAAAATGCCATCAGTCTCATCAGAAAGCACTTCATATTGCATCAGGACAATGACCCAAAACGCCCTGCCAGTTCAGTCAAGGAGTTTATCAGGGCAAAGAAATGGCAAGTCTTAGATTGGCCAAATCAATCTTCAGATTTAAATCTGATTGAACATGAATTTCACGAGCTAAAGAGGGGACTAAATGCAGAAACTCCCTAAAACAAGCAACAGTTGGAATTGGCTGCAATAAAGGCTGGGAAAAGTATTTTAAAAGATGAGACCAAGAGTCTGGTGATGTATATGGGTCGCAGACTCACTGCTGTGATTGCACGCAAGGGATCCACAACTAAATAATAGCTTTTAGTCTTTTACATCTGCCTTTAGTTCAATTGTTCCAATACTTATGCTCACATCAGATAGTGGGATGAACTCTAAAAGTGTTGTCCTTATTATCTGGTAAAACATGTATGTGTTGAAACGGCTCATAATAAAATGTGACATTCTGTAGTTTTGTGTCATATTAATCTTTTAATCATATTTGCCAATGTCTTGACTCCACAGCCAACAGAGCAACCTCTGAATGGCTCAAGAAAAACTAAATTAAGGTTTTGGAGTGGCCAAATCAAAGTCCGGACTTAAATCCGGTTGAGATGCTTAAAACAGTCCATTCATGCTGGAAAACCCCCAAGACTCAGTCAATGTGGCTGAATTAAAACAATTCTGCAAAGAAGAGTGGGCCAAAATTCCTCCA